TTGGTTTTGTTTATTTTTTCTTCATCTGTTGAACTATTACTGGTGTCCATAAGGTGTTTACTGTTGCTTTCCTCACTTTCAACTTTGATTAATTTAAGCTCTGTTTCCTTTTCTGGTATCTCATTAATACCAGACTTTTTGCTACTATCAAGCTCTTCGTCACTATCAAGTTCCTCACTGCTACCAAGCTCTTTGTCATGATCAATACTTTCACCACTATCAAGCTCTTCATCACTATAAAAAATACTTCTTTTAGTCCGACGCCAATCAATTCGAGATTTAGAATTTTTCCTTGTCACATGTCTTCTAACATGTACCATTTTCAGTTAAGCTTCTACAAAATAAAGTTATTAGGAACATAACAATGACAACCAGATTACAGCAATGAATACAAGGCACAAATTAATTTGGGTTCATTAAATAGTTCACAAAGGCAAAATCACATAGATATTGGAGTAAAAAAATCACAGAATAGCCAATGTACAAATAATTCAGTGAACAACTATTAATTTTTGAAAACTCATTCTTAATTATGCTATATGTTGTTCTGAAAAGAATACACAGAAAAAATCATGGTCCTGTGTCCTTTAGAAAACTATAAAATTCAAACATGCAAACATAATTAAGAAAAATTCAAGGTAGTCTTAATGAATAATAAAAATAAATGTGAGAGAAAGGTCAACATGTAGAATGATTAGTAAGGCAATTCGTTCATCAAAGATCACCATAAGCAGAGTTGATCAGGCACAATTTTCAAGGGCTGGTTAGATTTGAAAAGAAACAATGAAAGAAACAGTAATTTCAGACAAGTTAGTAGACAAAAGTTTGGCACTGACAAAGAACATATTACTTAATAAATATGTGTTACTAAAAAGGGATAAATAGCTTCTGGTGGATTAAAAAGGAGACAAGAATAGATGATGATGAAATTACAAAGACAGTGTTTGAAGGGGGCCTAGTGGGTAAAGTGCTTGCCATGAAAGCATAAGGACCTGAATTGAGATACCCACCACCCACATAAAAACTGACTGTGGCAGTACACACCAACCCTAGACTTGGATGTGGAAGGGAACAGAGATGGGTGAATCTCAGAGGTGGCTTCTTCGCCTGTTACTCCAACTGAAATGACAAGTTCTAGGTTTGGTGAGAAATCTTGTTTCAAAAAAAATTAATAAGGTCAAGAAACAATTAAGTGAGGTATTTCTACATTCATCTCTGGTTTCACAATACCTGCATTAGTGAGTAAACCCACATGCACTACATATATGTGTTCAACACGCACATACATGGAATTACAAAGATGATTCATCCTTAGGCAAAGGGGAACTGATTTGGAACAGGAGTAACATGAAATTTAAAGGCTCAATCAAGTTACATGAACAAAGTCACAGACAATGTAGTAACTGATATAAAAAAGAGACGACAATGCAATGCAGAGAGATAACCTATCTGATATGGCTGTAGCCTCTATATTCTGTAAAGAAGTGGAAATGGAGTTATACTATGTTTACAAAATACAGAATAATCCAACGAATCTTACTAAAAGTCCAATAATGTAGTCAAATGAAAAAAGCAAGGAAAGTTTAATGACAAAGCAGAGCATAGTATAAAAA